GTTAGGGAACTTAGTTCTTGTTAGAGAACTCTTCCTCTGATTTGTTTAACTTCTTCAATAAAGATCTTCTTCAAGTCTTCTTAGTTTCAGATGGTTCTTCAATCACCAAGATCAATCTGCACCTTGACTAATCACACACTAGAGAATGTTTATTAGTTGAGTTTGCTTGTAGTTCAAGTTCCTCATCATCAAAACCATTATGCTTCAACACACTAGAATTGCGCCCATCGAATGAGTCAATCAGCTTTGCATTCCTAGCAATATGGGGGACTTAAATTAGGCTCCTATACAACAATCATTTAAGATAATCCAAACCAATTAAGCTGAAGACGAGATTGTAAAAGAACAAATTAAAAAACCATACTTTTTCCGACGAAGCAAGGAACCATATACTTTTAAATAGTTGTAACTATACTTTGATAGATACTAATTACAAGTACTATTCTATTAAGCCTTAAAATATGCTATAAGCCTATAACATTTTTATATAGTATTATAACATACTTAACTTTACTATATGCCGTAGTAATACCTCCACTTCATTATTAATTATAAATATTATAAACATAATGCTTGTACAATTTGATATAGTCGGTTCATTATATTCTTAGTAATTTTTATTCACATAGATTGATATTCATATTAGCTAATGCATAGTACTATGTATTTAAGATTCTTACCTGTATGTCATGTATATGTCAATAGATTAGGGGACCATTATTTCATTAACCAATTAAGTTAAAACCAAATGCATTCTAAGATTTTGAAACTTTATCATAATACGAGATAAATTATAAAAAAAGTTATTCATGCCATTATCTACAAATGAAAAATGTGCTTAATTCATTCAAAATTTTAATGCATGAATTATAGCACATGCAAAATTAAAAGGTTAAATTTTACCTGACAACAGTCAAAACACCCTATATATAGGTTCTTTCAAGTTGAATGTTTTGTATCAACCATCTAAATATACACCACAATACTCTTATTAGTCACAAACTCACAATACATACATATACACAATCATCATATCCCAAGTGAAAAAAGGTCGGATAAAAAATGTCGTCTTACACAAAATCAAGTAAGGTAGTTCACACAGAGAGTATGTTAGATGAATACAACATCTACTTCTCCCATGTCCTCGCGCCATTGAAGAAGATAAACCGGAAGGCCGAGTGCAGCAAAAGAATGGAAATGATGCAAATGCAACATGATGAAGATGTTGATGCAAAAGCACAGGAATATATTAAGAAAAGACATCAAAAGTTTGCGCTTGGCAAATGGCCAGGATGTAATCTGTGATGTATATTTAACAAGTTTTAAACATGTAGGCCAAAATAAATAAATAAAAATTGTACTAAGTTATATATTATGTGTGTCTTGGGCAATTTCTAGACAGCATCCAAATCTCTTGTTATCAAGACACATATATTAATTGCTCATTTTATACCTTAACATCCAAAATAGGAAAAATATATAATTGCAAATTAAACCAAACATCCATAAGAATTTTAAAAAAGCGAGCTATAAAACAATGCTGGCTGTGGGGTTCGAACCCACGCGCACTTATGTGCAGCAGATCTTAAGTCTGCCCCCTTAACCACTCGGGCAAACCAGCTTCAATAAAATATGTGGTGCAATAAATTTATAATATATTGTAAGTTATTTTGCCGTCAAATTTATTTTCAACAGATTTCGCCCTCAATTTTTTGCTACACTAAATTATTGTCGAGCAAATTAAAAATTACAACATGGCCGAGCAAATTTATGTCTCTCTAATCATATAGAGTAATTAAAAATATGCTTCCTTCATTCAATTCATGTACCCGAAATTTATAATAACATACTTACATATTGGTAAAATTGGGCGCAATACCCTGAATTATGGCTTAGGTGCAGTGAGCACCCTAACCTATGCGTAGCATCCAAAAAACCACTAGCTATGGTGTTAGCTGCGACTTGTGCCTTAAATGAAAATTTCCAACCACTTATTTCATCGGAGGTGAATCCATGTGTGCTAAGTGGATGGAAGACTACATAACTATTCTAGAGAGTGATGATTCACCTCATCATCTCGCTCAAATAAGTTGCCAAAAATTTTCATTTATGTCACGCGTTGCACCTAACATTATAGTTGGTGGTCTTTTGCTACTACGCAAAGTTCAGGGTGCTCAGTACACCTAAGGGTCTGTTCTCTTACGTTGAAATTCAGTTCAGTTCAGTTCAGTTCAGTTCAGCTCAGTTCGGTTCAGTTTTGTCTAGCTCCTAATTTCCTTCTCTTATAAAATATTCATTTCAATTCAGTTCAGCTCAGCTCAGTTCAGTTCAGCTCATTTCAGTTCAGTTCAGTTCAGCTGAATTCAGTCAATGAGAACAGGCCCTAAGTCATACTTCTGAGTGTTGAGGTCAATTTCGCCTAAAATATATGTAGTTCGTACTATCAATGACTATTATATCAATGTTAAAAAAAAAAAAAAAAAAAAAAAAAAAAAATTATACCAATACGAAAGCAATGAAATTGGATATTTATCCATTAAAATTAAAATTGACCAAACTAAAATTAATTTTGTTGAAAGCTGATTTTTTTTTTCACTTAACTTATTTTTAGGTACTGATTAAAATGCATTGATTATTTTTTCTAAACTTAACTTTCCTAAACTTTCATACTCTCTCCGTCCCTTTTTTACATTCCTATTTGTAAAATTATACGGGAATTAAAGAACTTGGAATAAAACAAAGAACAATAAAACAAAGTACAATGGGAATTATAAGACATTAATTGATGTCTTTGAGTAAAACAAAGATAGAATAATATTTAATGTTGCACATGTCATCAATCCTTTGAAAAGAAAAAGGACCAATAACTTTTTTGGTTGAAAAAAGGACCAATCATATTCATCTAAATTGATGCACATGGATTTTGAAAATAAGAGTGAAAATTAGAAAATAAGAGTGAGAAAATAGAGAAGCATTAATTAAAAAAAATATATGGATAATATAATTTGAGATATTTGGAGAAAATTTACTTACTAAAAAAGAAAAGTAGGAACGTAATTTTGAAATACCCAAAAAGGAAAGCAGGAATGTAAAAAAGGGATGGAGGGAGTAACTTTTAATGATTTCCAAAACTAAACTTATTAAACCTTAATTCAATTTAATTTATACTCCCTCCGTCCCCAAATGATAGTTTTTTATGGGCAAATTTTAGTCCCAAAATGTTCACCTCATTTGCCTTTTCCAACAACCATTAATACTACGTCCATTACAAGTTATGTGCAACGATTTGACATAAAGCAGAGAGGGAAAATGTCTAACGTTGCACATAACCAGTAACAGAGGTAGATTTATTTTTTTTTACCAAAATTCCCTCTAATTTGCTACAATATTTGTGCAGATTTAACTTTCCCATGTAAATTTTGTTTTCTCATGTATTTTTTATTACTTTCTCTCTTTACTTTTTTGCATACCCAAACCCAATGTCAATTTACTTTTTCAATGTACTTTTACTATTCTTATTTGTGTTTATCAATTCTCGTGAAAAATGCCCAAAAGGGACTATCGATAGGGAACTGAGGGAGTATCAATCAATATATCAATATCCTATTAAAATTCCATATAGGCAATCATCTAAAAAAAATGTCTAGGAGTTGAAGACTTACTTTCAAATTATTAAATGACAATGGAACCATAAAATTAATTTACTCATCCAATTATATGAACATTTAAAGCAACTAAAGTTTCAAACGTGGATGGATATAGATATTAGTGATAATGTATTTTTATTCCTTACATATAATAATCCTACAAGTAGCTAATTAATGTAAGGATTTTTAAAGCATAGGGATATAAAATATGGATTTAACGGGGACATCGCTCGGGGGTACGCGCTTATATTATGTACGATTATACGAAGTATATAAAGGGGAGTTTTATCCCGAATTTTTAGATAGTCACGTAAGTTTTTGTTTTTTTTTAAAAAAAATTTAGAACACCACCTAATAATATATTTTTTTTAAAAAAAAAAGTGCCACGAACATAAGATCATGATTTTAAAAACTGCCACGTAGAATTATGATAATTAAAAAAATTAACTTGAATAAAACTAATCCTAAATAAAAATCGTATTTAAAAAACTAATATTTATCACAAAAAATTAATTCATTATTATATTTTATCAAAATTAAACGTATAAACGGGCTAAAAGAAATTTATATTTTATTTTAAAATTAAAAATTTTATTGCCATGTAAGCCGAATGAGATTTGAGAATTTAATTTTAATGTAAAAAATAACGGTTAGTGATTCAAAATTTAAATTATTTAAAAATAAAAAAAAATAATATAAAAGACAGATGACATATTAGGTATCTAACTCCTTATGAATAAGGTCACTTCATTAAGTATATAAATAAAATTAAAGCTTAGACTTTTTGAATAAGTAATAGCAATTTAATTCATTTTTATTTTTGTCTAAAACAATTAAATAGTAATTTGAATCATATAATTACAAAAGCGTGTTGGAATCTAACTAAGAAATTTATGGAGTATTTTTTTGTTTTATTTTGTTTTTGAAATTATATATTAAAATTCCGTACATTGCACGGGCTTTCATCTAGTTGTGATATATTCCTAACTTCCTAAGTACTTCGTATATCTTTTATTGTCAACTGAAAAAGTATTACAATAAAAATGGTGTGTGTGTATGTGTGTGTATATATATATAGAATATAATATCACCAAATATTGATAAGTTAAACAAAGCGCGCTCAACTTCTATAAGATGCTAAAATTCTCATTTTAACGAAAAAGAATGCCAAATTATGGTCCATATATCTAAATTTTGCAGGAAATCCCTATGTTTAAGCACCATCAATACTATTTTTAACCAAAAAAAAATAACTTACAAACAAAACCCACCTATATATATACATAATTCTTCTAACTTTTTCCATATCTTTTCATTTTCACACCCTCCTTAGTTTCAAACTCACCCAAAACAATGGCTAATTTAAATCTTTTCTTAGCCATTGTTTTGGTAAGTGGGCTAACCATGACCCTTATATGTTGGGCTTCATCCCTATTCGATTGGAAACTTCAATATCTTGCACCAACCAATGCAGCCCGTCTTGCGGCATTGCAACCCCCTTTAGTTTGGAACGAGACTCTTGCAACCTTTGCTAGATCGTATGCTAAAGAGAGGGCAGTAGATTGCAAATTGCAACACTCAAACAACCCAATATATGGTGAGAATATTGCAATGAGTCCTGGAGAATTAAGACCAACTGAAGCTGTGGATTTATGGGCAGGTGAAAAGCCCAATTATGATTATGGCTCTAATAATTGCAAAGAAATGTGTGGGAATTACACATAAATTGTTTGGAATGATACACAAAGTGTTGGGTGTGCCAAAGAAAGGTGTCAAAATGGAGGCACTTTTATTACGTGCAATTATTATCCTCCTGGAAATGTTATAGGGCAAATACCTTTTTAAACATTTTTTTTGTAGGAGAATTCTATGTGTTAGGGCCATTTTTTATAATTCTTCATATTGGTTAAACATTTTTGTATACATAAACATAAGTGTAATGTATTGACATCATGTTTCATGTTCAACTTTGCTTTTGAATTGAGAATTGGTGATATTGTTAATTTGCTACCATGATGTTGCTGACCATATTATGAGGCGTAAAGTATGCAACTGATTAACCAATTAATTTAATTGTTAATTACAACGTTCCGCCATTTTTGATATAATCTAGCATAGAATCTTTGATGGTATTAAAAAAAATTATCGCAATATTTCAACCTTTTAGAGTAACTAGGGTAGCTAACGCGTGCGATGCACGCACCATACCTAACCTTATTTGGAAGTTTTTTCCGGTTTGGCCTTAAATAGCAAATTTAGTTGTTCATATGTAAACAATTATGTTTAGGGGTATAAATGTCCAAGGCAACTAACATTAATGATAAAATTAAAATAAGTAATTAAACATTTTTTAGGGCATAATAGTCCAAACTCTTTTCATTAATAATATTTTTTTACATATTAATGAAGGTTTATATGTAAATATTCATATTTAAAGGATATAATTGACAAGACTGAAAGGATTAAGGGCTCAAACTAATTAATTGCAATCAACCTACAACAATGAATAACAAGCAAGCACAACAACTAAGAACAACCATGAAGAAATTAAAGCAAGTAAAAGTGAGACAATGTTACCGTGGGAAAACCCGAGAACCGGGAGAAAAAAAATTACCCATGCACTGGAGTAGTAATGATGATGAATGAAATAAAGAATTACAAGCATGAATTGTATGGAATTCAAATGCTCCTCACAAACTCTCTCAAACCCTTTCTTAGTGTTTAATGTTTGTGAATAATTAAATAAGAGATCTAGAGCAATATATATATAGTCTAGGTATTAGGAGATAATCAAAGGCCAAGATTAATCAAGAGGGAGGAGAAAGTTAATCATGGCCACACAAAGAACATCGAGCCCGTAAAACAGAGTAACCCCATGAAACCCAATGGAGCGGTCGCTCCAAATAACAAGTGTGTTCGCTTCAAAAATAAACTAGAAGAAAATAGCCAAAACGAGCCTCGAAAGAGAAGCGAGCTGCTCCTCAAGAGAGGAGCGCCCGCTCCGAATTCTTGCGCTGGACAGCTTCTCGTAAAACAATCATATCTTCCTCGTTTCTTGGCCAATTGGAGCTTATCACTAAGTCATTGGAAAACTCTTGAGATAAGCTATCACTTTTAACTAGAATCATCTCAAAATCCTTCCTAGATTGAGAGATATGCTGATTTGAAGTCAACCCTTTTCTTAAAGCGGTCAAAATCTTCACCTCATTGATTGCACCTTATGCCTCCTTGATTTATTCATCTCCACACAAATCCTAAGAATTACACTATTCATAAGAGTAATCTTATACTTTTTATAAGGTAGGATAGGATAAGGTAAGAAATAATGCATCTAATGTAGCGCATATTATGTCATATAGTAGAAATTAACGATATTACAATCTGCTTTTGAAGATTCTGAATAGCATCACATATGTAATTACGTACGTATATCGGTATATATACTAATATACTAGCGTGATTATTTGGCAATTAAGTCGATCTAATAAAATTTGTTAAGACTTAATGGCGGCATACGAAAATTATTAAAATTAAATCGTCAAAAAGTTATGTAGGGCTGCTTATAATTCTCATAGTAGATATAGTCATTTAGAAATCCAAAGCGTGTCCAACTTATATTCTTTAATAGAATAAAATACATGAACATAAAAACATACGTATAATTATTGTATAAATAGGCCTTTGAAGGTCCATTATTTCCTCATCCTTCACTTAAATCAACATACACAAATACAATTAGTTGAGAATAATGTCTTTGTTCGGAAAATGGAGCGAGGTTGTTAGGACAGAGAGTATATTAGATGAAAATAAGATCTATTTCTCTCATGTTTTATCTCCCTTGAAGATGAACAACCAGCAGAATTCTGAACGTAAGAACACCGCCATGGCGAGGCGGCCACAAAACCACTACAACCAGCACAATGGTGGTAAGGGAGTTGCTGAAAAAGGGTGTTATGAAAATAATGTCGATGATGAAGCTGAGAAGTTTATTACGAAGAAGCATCAGAATTTTGAACTCAGCCTTTGGAAGTCTAACCATACTAATTATAAATTATAAACTATATACTACCTCCGTTAATTGTTATGTGCAACTTTGGGGTATTATTTGTGAGATATAAAATATTCCAAAGTTGCACATAGCATTTAATGGAGGTAGTATAATGTATAAACCATGCATGCATGCATGCATGAATTTAATGTATATCTCATACAATCTTGGAAATACAGTGATTTGTTGATTAATTTATGTATATTTTATATTTTATTCTTATATACTCGTACAATAATTTATTATTTATTGTAAATGAAATAATATATAATACCTCTTTTTTTCTATCAAACATGAATAACTTTTACAATTGTAAATTCAACACCTATGTATACATATCATCGATCCCTTCATATTTATAAGCTAATGATGGGCCTTAACCATTAGTTTAACATTTTAGTTGAGTTGATCCTTTATTATCATAGTCAGTCCCATCGATACCTACGTGGCACAAAGGTCACGGATCCGTATCTCGCTTATCCTTCCATTGTTAATAATAGATGATGGCCCATGATGTATCTAAGCTACACGTCAAGTCTAATGGTTTATCAAGTGAGGGAGCGTGAAAGAGTCTAAACAAATCACAAGCCTCAACTATGAGCTTAAGTTTTTTATTGATGAATTTGTCCTTTAACACACATATATCGTCTCTAATCTAATCTAATGCTGACACAATGCCACATCAGTGTTATTCCCAAAGAGATAGGTTCAAAAGCATGGGAGTCTATTTCAGGTTGTCATTCCCTAAAATCTTCACTATTGATCATTATTTATTTATTTATAGACAATTCACTTAGCTTCTTAATGCATGCTAAATCACCTGCAACCTGCAATTTAGCATGCATTAAGAAAATAAATAAATATTTTTGTTCCAGGTGCGGATTCAAGGATTCTGTTGGGCGAACTGGGTCCTGTCAACTACCTATACAAGGCAGCACACATAAACTGTCCTCGGGGGTGACTCGAGCCCCCCTCCGAACCTTAAGTTAGAGAGTGTTTAGAGAGAGAAAGTGTACTTAGAGAGATGTAGAAAGTATAATGACTTAATTGTCTTACCCCCTTTCCGTTGTACTTTACCCTCTATTTATAGGCATACCATCTCCTTTGTGGAGAGTTCAGCCTGATCAGCCCTGCGGGCTGACTCTGCCGGGCTAGTGAGCCCTCCTTTAATTGCTTTCTTGGCAGTGAGTGCGCACCCTGGGGGCTGGGCGATAGTTCAACGGGAGCTATCCTATACAATTTTAATTAGCTATAAATTTAGGTTTTATTTACAATTTTACACCACATCCACATGTATGATAGAATGCTGGAAATTATACCTAAAAGTAACTCAAATACGGATTGATAATTTCTCTCCTCTCTCTCTCCTCTCTCCTCCCTCCTCTCTCCAAAACCCTAACCTCCATTGTTGACTTTTAAAGGGGCTTTCATCAGTTTTAACCGGTGGAAAACCCCCAATCCTAGTTTCTTTAAAGTTTTTTTAGGTTTTCTAATAATGTTTCCTCCTTTTGGGAGGAACTTTAATTTTCTCCCTCAAAAGAAAGGGTTTCTGACCTCTTTCGAAAGACAAGGTTTATCTCCTCTTTTCGGGGGAGAAATTTCTTAGTTTTGAATCCATGATAATAGATCTAATGGATTTTCGTGAAATTATTTCGTTGGTGAAAAAGTTATCAAGTTTTCGAATGCAGACAGATGAATCGGAAGAAAAACATCGTCACGGCTACAAAGGATCGTTAGATTGTCTCTTCAACAAGGTTGTATTTTCCAGCGATATAAACAGGAGATGTTCCACACTGCAAGATTTACTCGATGATCGTAGTTTTTATGAAGGAAAATTTTATTTGATTCAATATCTTATGTATTTGTTAACGTCGAATCTATATTGTAGATGTCGTATGACTTTAAATTAATGAAATATTTTTGCTATTCAAAAAAAAAAAAAAAAAAGCTGGAAATTATACCTTGAAGCCAATAAGCAATTAGCTTAGCCAACAAAGTTGAACTAATAAACCATCACATACATTATAAAATTCTAAAACATGGCAATTTCCAAAAGCAGATCGAATTCAGAGAAGGCGGACCACGGCTAGTTTAATCACGGCACACAAAATTAGGCTAATTAAACCTTATTTTTGTAATAAGCGCATCAAGACTTTACACTTATAAATTATAATGCATCTAATGTAGCCCAAAGTAGAAATTAACAATAATTCATTTTACTTTTGAAGATTCTGAATAGCATATACTGATATACATACATATACTAGCGTGATTATTTGGCAATTAAGTCGATCTTTTTAAATTTAATAAAAATTAATAGCGGAATTTTTTTTTTTTTTTTTTTTGAGGAAAATTAATAGCGGCATATGAAAATTATTAAAATGTCAAAAAAGTTTATACGTAGGGCTGCTTAAAATTCTCATAGTAGATACAGAAATCCAAAGCGTGTACGTTCAACTTATATTCTCTAAAAAAAATTAATTAATACATGAGCAAAAAAAAATACACGTATAATTGTATAAATAGACCGTTGAAGATCCATTGTTACCTCATCCTTCAACTAAACCTACAAACACAATTAGTTCATTCAAGAGAAAAGGGTTGATTAATTTTTCATTTGATAAATTTATTAATTGAAAATGTCGTTCGGAAAATGGAGCAAGGTTGTTAGGACAGA